GCTAGCCTCTTCATATAAACTTCCCCTACAAACTAATTTTCTTGTCCTCACTATGCTTTTCTGACTTGGTGCCTTTCCTTTATGCCTGCTTTTACTTTCTCACTGGTCTCTGCTGCTCAATTCCCACCATAACATCAAAATTCAGCTTAAATCCTACTAGTGCTACGAAGAACACCTTGGAAGCCCAAACTAGAAATGATCTCTTTGAAATTCCGGTTGTACTTCCTGTCAATTCCACTGTTTCTCTGCCTTTAAACTATGGAATTTGCATTCCTAAGTTCAAATACACACACACACACACACACACACACACACACACACACACTCTTCCTTTCCACAGGGTAGGGAGAAAAGGAACCAAGGGAAAATTTTCACCTAAGTGGGAATGTAGAGATGTTCTTGGTGGAAGTTAGGCTCGTTTATGGGAAAGGAGCTGTGGTAATGCAATGTGTCCCAGCATTTGCCAGAGGACACTAGTCATGTGAGAGCTTATATGATAATATTTCCATATATTCCATTTAACAATATTTGAGTGTTCACTGTGTGCCAAACAGTAAATGAGAGACATATATCCCTACTCTTAAGAACCCCACAGAAGAATCCATAGCCAGAGATAGTTGGAAAACTACATAGAGGACGTTATCACATAAAAGTCTCTGAAAACCCTATAATCCCAGCTACTCAGAAAGGTGAGGTGGGAGGATCACCTGAACTCATGAACTCATGGGTTCGAGCCAGAAGTTCTACTCCAGCCTGAACCTCATCTCTTTAAAAAAAAAAAAAAAAAAAGTCTCTGAAAAGTTTCATAATTAAAAAACAAAATCCAAAACAGATCATTGTGTATTTAGTATTATTGCACAAACTGATTTAGCCACAGAATCTCTCCCCTGCTATTTTTCTGGTAATATCCACTGAGATCCCCATGCAACTAGAATTCTGCGGTCCATACTTTGGGAAATGCTAAGTAAGCATAATTCAAATGCTGACAAGGAAAAGCCAAATCTTGGAGAGAAGAAAATATATACTTTGGAGTTTGAGTGGAGGGAAACTCTTTTAGGGAAGGGAACAGCCGAAAATCCTACATAACACGGTGAGAAAATGGGAAGAAGGAGGGTGTGGTCAGAGGAACATTCCAAAGGTTCCAATCCTTCCAAGTGAATTTCCTTAGACCCTAAAGAATAGACTAGAGAATAGGAAGAGGTAGATCAATAAAGGAAAAGCGACTGGATGTTTCTCAAACTTTCTCCTTCCACGCCCCACTACAACTCTGTTCCCAGAAAGACAATGTGGAATTCTAAATTGTGCACCCTTTCTTCCCCATGTCTTAATCTTGAGAGAAAGCATCTTGGGTAGCTGTGAAGTTTGTGAAGCTCAAAGTCCTGATTGTATTTGCAGAAATTAAGGAATTTTTGGTGACTACTGAGTGCAATCCTGTTTAGTTTGCCTTGTGGTTGTCACATTAATATCCCTAACTGCTAATACTCAATCCTGGAGTTACATTTTACGTTAAGGTCAGAAAATATAATTTTTGACTCCGTACTTCACATGTATTACTATGATGATGTTTAAAATGATACAAACGTCACATATGATGAAACTCACTCTATAGTATGAAAGAAACGCGCTGCCCCTGGTGAACTCCCTCTGGCGGCCCTTATATGGAGCCTGTGGATGAGAACTCCTAGAGGCTGCATTGCCAAAATATTACTCACAGGCTTGGGAAAAAAAAAAAACATGATGCACTTTTCTCATATGCTTGAAATATTTCAGACAAGGAAAACAAAAAGTATTCCATTTAGCCTAAATGAGGTTATTGAGCTGACGCCAGATCTGTTCCAAAACCATGTGTGTGCAGTACAGAACTGGCAGCATCTTTTGTAATGTGAGAGCTTCAACTGCTCCCAATGAAACACACAAACTTGGGAACAGCAATCCTCAGAGAGAGCTGAACTGAGCATCAGCCTTCCTCACCAATCTCACCATCATTTCACATTCTCCAATCAAAAGTTAAGTCAACTGAGCTTCAGAAGGGCAGCTCTCTGGTATACATTTTATGGCGAAATTAACTGGTACTGTAAATTAACTCAAAGAGTGAGAGTATTTGTGTATATAATGCTTTCTTAGACTTATAATGTACATAATACAAACTTATTAATGGAAACTATGTAGTTCCCATTTTTGGCCTTCCTAATATGTGTAAAATTTTATTTCATTATTTTATAAATATTTTGATGGTTTTACTCAGATAAAATTTCTCTTGTCTTTACGATCTAAGAAGCAGTTTTAAAGTTTTAGCAATAATATTTAAAAAGTCTTGACTCGCTTTCACTTTAATGAATTTTTAGAATCTCTTTAAGGTGGATATTCTTCAGAATATTGCCCTTCCTTCGACCATTGGTAAACACTTTAAAAAAATCATTGTATTATTAATAAGGCTCAGAGAAATAGGTGCTTTCATACATTGTTGGTGGAAATGGAGTTTGGGACATATTTTTTTGGAAGTCAGTTTGGAGACACACACACATGCATACACATATTCATGCATATATATGTTATATATGTATATGCATGTACACATATATACGCAGACATACACGTGTTTATACACAGGTAGTATTGGCCCATCTTCTAGGAATTTTCTTAAAGAAATATTAAAAAATATTCATAAATAGTTATTTACAAGGATAGTCAATATAAGTATGTGCCTTCTTCTAGATCCTTACAGGTGAAAAAATAGGAGCAACTTAAATACCCACATTTAATGGAAAAGTGAATCAACTACATTGTATTCATACAATGGCCTACAATGTATCCATCAAATCATTTGTGGAAGAACACCAAATGACCATATTAAAGCGTTGATGCTATATTGAAAAAGCATGTTCCACAATACTAGGTATAATATAATTATGCCACAGCTATCTATGTCCAGAAAAGTACTAAAAGAGTCTCTGCCTAAATGTTAACAATGGCTATACTTGGGTAAAGAATTTATGGATGACTTTATTTTTTCTTATAATTATTCTCTGTTTTCTGAGTTTTCTTCAATAAATGTATATTATTTATGTTATCAATAAACGAAGTACTATTACAATATCTTGGTATATTTGTACATTTTGACCCAGCAATTCTATTTTTAGGGCTATATCCTAAGGAAACAAACAGATGCACACACAAAGAGGTATTTAGAACTATGTTCTTGGGTGATTTGTTTATAATAATAAAATACTAGAAACAACTCAAATGCTCAACAATAGAATTTGTTTTAAAAAATTACAATGTATTCAAGCAATGGAATATTTCACCTCTTTAAAATCAGATTCTTAGCTGTGTGCAGTGGCTCATGCCTATAATCCCAGCACTTTGAGAAGTGGAGGCAGGAGGATTGCTTGAGCCCAGGAGTTCAAGACCAGCCTGGGCAACATAGCAAGACCCTGTCTCAATAAAAAACAAAAAACAGATTCTTGCAAACATGTAAGAATAAGGGGAACTTCCCACGACATTAAGAAAAAAAGGCATATAGATAGACAGATATAATGCAATTAAAGGTTTGATTGCCTAGAAAAACATTAGAATATACATTATTATGCTAGCAGGGATTACCACTGGGCAGTGAAATTACTTACAGATTCTTTTGATTATCCTTTTTGATAACTTTTATGCTTTCAATGATGTAATTTTTATGAACATAAAAAAATACGTAAATGGTAAGAGTGTTTTATTGCTAGCAATATTAAGATATAGGATCTATATAAGCATGACCCCTCCAGATATTTTCTTCAAACTATCACTTCTACTCGATTTATCAGTTTACCACACAGGAATATAGGAATATTTAAATGTTTTGTTTTAGTCCATGGGTCTGTCGGACAAACAATAGAAAGAATTTTGACCAAAAATTTTGCTTGCTCTATAAGATGCTTAAAACAACAGGAAAAAGGGATATTTGTGGGTGGACTGGCCCAAGACTCACATCTTTAAACTGTGACACGAAGCTTTCTTAATCATTTACCTCTTCAGAATCTAAGCCAGCAAAGCAGTCCGGAGACAACACAAGGTGTAGTGTAGCCTTTCTCCCTGATGCAAGGGCTACATCTACAGTGTGAAGGAAGATTTTTGGAGTTCAATGAGAGAGTTTATGCCTTTAACATAGCTCTGGTAGTAGCCACTGATAGATACAAAGGCTAAATAGGTGGGTAAGTAGAATAAATATCTATCTACCTAGATAGATATTTGTATAAAAATATTTGTATGTGTTTAACTATTTAATGTATCTTTTATGTTGTTAAAGGTTTAGCATTACGTTTGCATATTGCATGATGAGCAACAAGACCCGAAATTTATCTATGCCACTGATGTGTGGACTTAATGGGTATTTCCTGAAAGCCTACGTGCAAAGCATGGTTCTGGCCATAGGAGACAAAAAAAACAGTCATGTCTTCCTTTCCAGATGAAGACACAAAGACAATTCTGTGGATCACATGTGATTTTTCAATGTCTCTCTTCTCCAAAAAAGAGACATTGGACCAAAAAAAAAAAAAAAATGGACAAAATAATAACGGAAATTTACTGATGTTTCACGTAAATTTAGTGTAATACCACTTTAAAAGTTCACATACATTGCTATATATATATATTGCTACATAGCCTGGGAATATCACTAGTGAAATTTACCAAAGGCAGTTTTCACACCTGAGATAATGTATGGAAATCCTCAAGATAGGGTGCAGTATATTATTATTTCTCCTGATGGAATAAAAGACTTACATTGACTTTTGACTCCACAAAGCTCGTTCACTACTTTCAAGTTTTGTGACAGGGTTTGGAAATACAACAGGGCAACAATTTTGGCTTCCCAGATGGACAGCCAGAATTGAAACCAAGAGCCGATCAAGATCAGACCAACATAATAATTAAAAGTGGAGAGTGAAAAGAAAAGGAAAAGAAACGGAAAGCAGATATGTGAGTTTAAGGGAGGTAAAACAAAAATTAATATTTACTTGACTTGTCCGTTCTCCGTGTAGGTGGTTCTGTAAAACCCCACGAGGGAGCCGTTCAGCCAGCCGGCGAACTCCATGGTCAGGAGATAGAGGCTATCTCCACTGCTGGGGGTAAGCTCTTCCTCCGCCTCGACAACCACATACTCCTGCTTTTTGTACTCGAAACATCTCCGGACTTGCACCTGGTTCCCCGAGGGCCTCTTCAGCTCGGGGAGTCGGGTGATCCTGGTCTCCCGGAGGTGCAGCCACAGGTACCGGGTGGGCGCGCTCAGATTGATGGAGATGCTCACGGTGCCCGTGTAGGTGTCCTCCTCCAACAGGGGCTTCACGTGCAGGTCGTAGTGGACCGGGTTGATGAAGTCTGGCAGTCGAAAGTTTTTCCACTGTCCGCTGTCATCCTCACTGGCCGGGCAGATGTCCTGGTCCTGGGCAGGAGGACCTGAGGGGCTGGCCGTGGAAGACGGCAGGTGGGAAGGAGCCGGCGCCGTGCCCGGCCCACCATCCCTGCCGGAGTCACACGATCTGGTCAAGCCCACGGCAAGTCCCACTATTAATCCTACACCCACCACCACCGCACAGAGAATGGCCACGTGTTTCGTTTGAATGCAGTATCTCTTAGAGCCCTCTCTCTCCGCAAAGTTCATTTTTGCTTCCGAAGTCAAGTGTTACACATAAAAAGATGTTAAATTTAACTAACTAACGTCAGCAGACTTCCTTTTTAAATTGGAAGGAATCCCCTGATTTGGCAGCCTGTTTTCGCTTTTCCCACACCTCTCTCTCTGGCTTCTTGCGCCTTTTCCTCTCCCTTTTCACGTTCCCACCAGCCACTCAGGGTGAATGCGGAAACAAGGGGGTGGAATGAGGACTCCGTAAGAGGAGCCGAGTGGGAGGAAGAGGGCTGGAGAGAAGACTGTCACAGCTCGCCTTATAAACGACGCATCTCCACCCCTACCCCTCCTGCACCGCAGCGAGTTAAATATAAAACAGGGCTTCGCTTATCAGCCAACGGGAGGATGAGCCCTTGCCAAAGCTCCGTCAGCAGCTTTCAGGGAGGAAGCGTTTGGGAGAGGTGTGCTTACGATAGAAAATCTCAACCTTTGCCACTCAGCCTGGGGCTTCTTCCTGTTGTGTTCACAATCTCTCCTTCCTAACTAAAGGGCTTCTTGAATTTCAGCTATTTTATCAGATAGCTTGCCAAAGAAACTAAATGTTTTCTTTCATTTTTTTCCCCCTCATATTATGTAAACATTCAAAATCTGTCCTTTGGAGAAGTCATATCCTGGAATTGGGTGCTCAGGGTGATTCAAGGACCACCTAGGTACTCAGTAAATATTTGTGGAATTAGATTAGGAAAGCCTAGCCAGGTAACGCTAAATCAGTTCAGCTGGTGCTGAATGAATGCGCGAGGGGGATCCCAAAGAAATGAGCCAAAGCAGTAGTGGAGCTGGAAAGCTTAAGAAGAAGAGAGAGAGAGCAAGAGGGGGAGAAGTCTGAAAGGACAGAGGGACAAGAAAGAAGCCCTGCTTGTCCCCGCAGTGTGCCTCCAAGTGAGATTGACTTCCTTAGACTTTGATGAGGTAGAGCACGTTTAAAGTAGATTCCAGATGTGAAAATTGACCTGTTGGTAAATCCATCATCCATGCAAATCTATCATTTTGTTTCTGAATGACAAGATCAGGAAGAAAAATTGCAATGAACTTCATATTTACTGGCAGCTTAGCTATGGACTGACATTTAGAGAGGTTAAGTTACTGCTCAAGGTTACACACCTGGCAAATAGCAGAACTGGGGTCTGAACTCAGGTCGACTGAGTCTAAAGTCCATATATCTGGCTAGGTGTGGTGGCTCACGCCTGTAATCTCAGCACTTTGGGAGGCTGAGGCAGGTGGATCACCTGAGGTCGGGAGTTTGAGACCAGCCTGGCCAACGTGGTGAAACCCTGTCTCTACTAAAAATACAAAAATTAGACGGGCGTGATGGTACACGTCTGTAGCACTAGGTACTCAGGAGGCTGAGACAGGAGAATCGCTTGAACCTGGAAGGTGGAGGTTGCAGTGAGCGGAGATTGTGCCACTGCACTCCAGACTGGGTGATAGAGTGAGACTCCATCTAAATAAATAAATAAATAAATAAAATTTTTTTAAAAATTAAAGTCCATATATCAACGATTGCATTCTACTGCAATCGTTAAATATTCGTTAAAGGATACATATTCAAGGGTTAAGTAACTATGAAAAACTTGGTATTTCCCCAAATGCAATCCATGGATATTAACAGATCTACTTGCCAAGCAAACAATGCTGGGTTAAAGTGAAAAATCTTCTTTTACTACTCTCTATTCTTGCAGAGCCTCCAGATGGTGACACACATTATGAGCCTCCCAGAGAGGAAACGCAATGGAGTACTTTCCCCATTTAGTTGACAAGAGAGCTTTTTCTGGTGAGGTACCTTTTGAGGGCCTTATGTTCCATAGAGCACACTCTGAGAAACGTTGTTTCAAACTGTTCTAAATTACAAACTAAACAAACAAACAAACAAACAAAACTTTAAAAGCAAACAGGTCCTTTTTACTCTGTAACATTTCTATTGTTTTTCTCACAAAATAGTAGTAACAGAAAAAGAACTAAAGGAAAAAGGGATATGCTTTTCTAAATTGTAGACCCATCTTGTATTGATTAATTTTACATTCTGAAGCAATCCTAAACTTCTTGAGATCATAGTATGTTTAAGTTTGGCACATTAACTTCCTGAATTTTAGCCCTTGAAACCCCTTTTTATTGAAAAGATCATCTGACATTTCAACAAAAGTTTGATGGGTCAAATATTTTGATATGTTTCTTAGGAATGAAAGGCAAAATTGTGGCTCAAATTTACCTCAATATAGTGAAAGGAAAAGCAAAAAGTATTTGGAAGAATGTACATAAAATTATGTTAAACTGGAAGTATTTTTTTAAATCTCAGATGTGGCAAACATATATGAAATCTCTTAAACTTGACCTTATTTAGAAAGACAACAATCTTATCACCAGGTCTTATGTACAGAGAAGATAATAGACCTTTGCATTGGGTACACTTAAGGAAGATTAAGAATGGCCACCTGCTATGAAATAGCTCTTCTACTCTGCCTGAAATTCTACCATAAGGAATATACTATTTAAATGCTTTTTTTTTTTTTGCCAGAAGAAGTAAAGTACCCTAAGACCACATATGCGGGGGGAAGCGGTGTGTGTGTGAGTGGGTGTGTGTGTGTGTAAGTTTTGAGTCCACGGCCCAGTTCTAGCCACAGTATCTTACTAGTACCAACCTGTGTGAGCTGACTGCATTCAATGAGGGGCACCACATCTTGTGAGGGTCAGCGTATTAGGGTTACCTAATACAGCCAGATGAGAGGAGGTAGAAGAGCCAGCATGTGCACCATCACAGGCACTCTCCTAGATTAAATAGTTGATATTGGGTAATCTTACACTGAATGAATCTACATTGGATAGAAATAATTTCAAAAGGCTACTGCTGGTCAATTTTCACTTATTAGGTCCAAGCCAGTGGAGTGCAAGAACAATAATTTACTATAAGTTCTATATGACAATCTCCATCCCTTTTGACACATACATTATCATCATCTACTTTGAGTACTAAAATTCCAGTATCTGCTCCTTATTTAACATTCAATAGATATCTGTTCCCTATTTAACACTCAATAAATGTTTATTGATTGCTTAGTGAATAAATGAACAAATAAATGAACAAGGAGAGGAAGGAAAAACAATAATCAAGAATGGGAAGGGTTAATAGACATACCGTGCCAGGAATGTTGAGAGAAACTGTTCGAATTCCAGAAAAGACTGGAAAGACATTTCCTGGGGCGAGGACCTGGAAATCACATCTGATCTTGAGTAGGTGAGGAAATTCTTGGCAAATTCCTTCCCGTAGCCGGTAGACTGATGCAAGAGACTCACTGTAACATCAAAGGCCAAGTATGCACCTCTCTTTTTCACTTAGAGCTTCCATTTAAAGCTTTTCTATTAGGTACCAGGAATTACACATCCCACAGAGCTATTGGGCCTTCTGTGTATACACAGCGCTGTCGTAGTCTGTTTTTTGTTGCTATAACATATACCTGAGGCTGGGTGATTTGTAGAGAAAAGAGGATTACTTAGCTCACATTTCTGTAGGCTAGGAAGCACAAGAAGCATGGCACCAGTACCTGCTTGGCTTCTGGTGAGGGCTTTCACACCATCACAACATTAGGGAAGGTCAAAGGGGAAGCAGACATGTGTAAAGTGGCAAAACCCAAGGTGCATCCTGGCTCTGTGACAGCCCACTCTCACGGGAGCTAATTCATTCCCACAAGAACTAATTCAGTCTTGCCAGAGCAAGAATTCATTTACTGCTGTAGAATACAGAAGGGCACCAAGCCACCCATGAGGGCAGAGTCGTCACTACCTAAACACCTCCCATTAGACCCCACTTCCCAACACGGCCACTGGGGATCCGATTTCAACATGAGTTTCCGTTGGAACAAATAAGCCATATCCAGACCATAACATGTGCTGCTGGCTCACCTGGGCACCAGGAGCATCTCAGGAAATGTAGTCAGCAGTTAACACTACAGTGTGATTGTTTGGCTGGCCCTTTACTCTAATCAGTGATCTGAGCTGAACTCTATGGTTCGGGGCTGATCACCTGAAGTCAGGAGTTCAAGACTAGCCTGGCCAACACGGTGAAACCCCATCTCTACAAAAATACAAAACCTAGCCAGGCGTGATGGTGGGCGCCTGTAATCCCAGCTACTCGGGAGGCTGAGGTGGGAGAATTCCGCTTGAACCCGGGAGGCGGAGGTTGCAGTGAGCTGAGATCACGCCATTGCCCTCCAGCCTGGGCAATAGAGTGAGACTCCATCTCAAAAAGAAAAAAAAAAAAGTGGGGGGCAAGCTAGATTCACAATGGAAGAAATAGAATCTGCAAATTAGGCTGTACATATAGGGAACAAGGAGGGCATGAACCAGTTTCTTTCCATCTTGCCACAGGGCCACTATTATTAAGCACATAAATTCTATAAACAGCCTTGGTCAAGTCAGGCATTTCCAAACTTTAAAGGTTTAGTGAGAGTTGTGAGAGTTGAAAAAGGAGAGAGTCATTGCAACTGATTTGGCTAACCACGAGGTCTAAATCCATATTGGCAATGTTCTTTGTGATACTGGTAAATTCGCCTGTATTTCCAATGCCTGTGCCTTATTTGTCATCTTTTATTTGGCCTCAACAACTGTTTTAAAAGGTTCAATTCGTTTTAAGACTAAGTGAACTGGATTAACTTTTCCCAAGAGCTGAAAACTGATGCAGATGTCAGGAGTAGTTTTAAGACAGAAAATGTTCAGCATGCCACATCTAATATTTATTGGTGGGAAAATGATGAATTTGTCCAATGACTGGTGCAATAAAGGGAGATGGCAGAAAGATGAGGAAAAGGAGAAGAAGAAAGAGACAAGAGGCAAAGGAAAGGGAGAGGAAAAAGAAGAAGGACTTTCAAAATAGATAAGAAGGAAAATAAACCTCCAAAACACATCCAAACATAATTTAATTAAAAAAAAAAAAATCAGGCCTGGTGCAATGGTTCACGCCTGTAATCCCAGCACTTTGGGAGGCCAAGGCAAGTGGATCATTTGAGGCCAGGAGTTCAAGACCAGCCTGGCCAACATGGCGAAACCCCATCTCAACTAAAATTACACACATTAGCTGGTCGTGGTGGTGGGCACCTGTAATCCCAGCTACTCAAGAGGCTGAGGCAGGAGAACCGCTTGAACCCGGAGGGTGAGGTTGCAGTGAGCTGAGATGGCGTCACTGTGCTCCAGC